GATTCATTTAGTTTCTGAGTGGTGTTTTCTTATTTTGAGCATCCATTTCACCATCCAAAAACACCCTGTCAAATCAGCCTTAGACACTGCCTATTAAAATGTTAAACTTCACCTGATAAAATATAATTATAGCACGCCTGGCATTTTAACATAGCACACACATGCTTCAAGCCAATTTTGCTACAGTTAAGATTATTCCTTTGGATGTGTGAATGCATGATGAAGCTGTAAGGAAATATCAATATGTCAAACTCTAATATAGTTGAGAAACTGCATTCAAAATAAATTTTTAAAAAATCAGAATATGGATTAAAGGAATAAAAATGGAGACAAAGGCCACTAAATTACTGGGTGAGCTCACCAAATTATGCAAGTAAACAGTTTCCTAAAGGAGCATCCAATGACTGACTACTTTAAGTTCCATGAGCCAAGTTTTTTAAGGTTTACCAGGTCTGTGGTTCATCACCTGAAAAGCTCACAAGAATAACAAACATCCTTGTCTCATAGCAGAACATAGGAGTCACAATTTCTGGAGATAGAATTTGGAGGTAAACCCCAAGTATAAGATACCTTTTTTCAAGACTTTTTATTTTTTTTTAATATGTGCTGTGAGCCACCTACCATGGGTTCTGGGACCCAAACCTTGGTCATCTGCAAGGGGAGCACTCTTAAATACTGAATCATCTCGGCAACCCTAGGATGTTTTTTAAGCTACACCCTCCCAAGTTATGGTGTTGTAAACATTGGTCCTATTACTTTGTAACAATCATTATATAGTTAATAACTGATAATAGTTAAGTGATCAGGTCAGTTTGCTTATACTGTTACCCTTGAGTCTGTATTTGAACTTATCCATAACCCAGCTAATAAAGTGTTTTAGATAAAGCAGGAGTCATGGTATAAAAGATGGATATGGATTATTTTGCAGTCCTCCATTTAAAATATGGTGTTTAATTCCCCCCTTGTTGAGTATGGGCTGGATTGAGTGCTTCACTTCTAAAGGACAGGATGTGACAGAACTCACAGTATTTAGCATCTAAGCTTAGACCATGAAAGGTATCACAGCTTCCCCCTTGCTGTTTATGAGATCTTTCATCTCGAGAAGTTGGTTGCCATGTTGTGAAGGCACCCAAGTTATGCCAGAGAGACCCAGGGGTCTACAGTCAGCAGCCTCGTGAGAGTCATCCTAACAGTGGAAGACCCCAACTCGGGTCAGACTTTTAGACGGCCGCATCGCCAGTCTTCAGTCTCATGAGACTCTCTGACTCTGAGTTGGACTGCTACATTAAGATCTGCTAAAGTGCTGACCCAGAGAAACCCTGACATAACAAATCTTCAGTGTTACATGGAAATAAATAATCAGTGCAGAAGGTTAACCACTCTTCCAAGAGAAACCAGAATGTTAAGACCATCTACCTGTCCATCACTAGACATTATACCTGACATGTAGTAGATGTTTAGTCATTAGTAAATAAATAAATGACCATATTTGAATGAGATAATTTTTCTTCTCTAGAATTACATGGAGTAATGGAGATTTATATCTATTACCAAGGACTCTGTCTACACCAAGTCTGAAATTAGAAAGAATTGAGGTTCCAAATTGGGAAAGGTTGAACATGACCAACACATACCTATAACCCCAATGATAGGAGGTAGAGATAAGAGAGCGGCCACCTTAGCTTTAGGTTCAGTGAAAAACTCTGTAAAGTGACTGTTAGAGAGTGATAGGGTGGGGTGTCCCTGAAAGGTGTGCATATACAACACAGACAGACAGAGGGACTGACAGAGACAGACAGAGAGAGACAGAGATAGAGAGACAGAGACAGACAGACACACAGAGAGAACACTTGGCTAAAAAAGAGGACTGTGGATGGTGATTAAATGGCTTGCTGTGTAGTCAGTCCTGTAGGCACTCTACCCACAGCACTGGGGCTTGTCCTTAGCATGATAAGGTATGGCCCAGCACAGTCAGCCTTTGCGTCTTTGTTCCTCTCTTTCCTTTTACTTAATATTTTATTTTTTATTTTCTTTTATATTGAGACATAGTTTCTCTGTTGCTTGGGCTCAAGTGAATAACCCTTCCACCTAAGCTGCTCCAGTCGAGACTATGGGTGTGCTCCTCAGGATCCAGCATGACATCCCATCTCTAAACACTGAATTAATGAGGCTGGGTCATGAAAGTGTCGAGGCTGGGGCAAAAGATGCAGAGAAGAGCCAGAAGTGAGTCTATTCTAGAGTTACTGCAGCGAGACAGAGAGCGAGAGCGCGCGCGGACACAGCCCTGTTGAGATGTTAGCCACACTGAGAGGAAAAGATTCACTGTCACCTGCGTATGCCAAGATTTGAAGCTTGAGCTGGACAAGGTGCTGGTTTGGTTTGGTTTGGTTTCAGTTTTTTCTTCTTACTGTTGTTGTTTGTATTGTGAGCTAAGTGAGTGTGACTAGTTTCCATTGGGCTTTCTCAGTAACCGATTGGCCTGTCGCTCTCTTCCCTCCTAAGGTGTCCCCACAAGGCTTTGTCAGCCTTGCAGTGCTCTCAACTACAATGAGAGATGCATTTTCTTGAACGCAAAGATGAAGAAAGAGAGGATACTCATAACTTACTGTAGTTTACACTGGTATCTGTTTCCAGGGGCAACCACCTTCTTCTAAACTGGTCAAGAGACTTCAGCTTAGCAGTGTGCCCCTAAGCTCTTCCAGCCCACACATGTGGATTCCCAGCCTGTTCCCACCTAGAGAAGATACATGCATGGAAAAAGAGATTCAGCCAACAGCCTGTCCTTCCAAACATACTTCTGCCCTTGGCAAAGGGCTAGGGATTGTTTCCAGAAGGATTCAGGCTAGGTACATTTAGGCAAAATACTACAGTTCTCTCCTTTGTCAGCTTGGGAGGGATGGTGCCCCAAGGCACACATGGGCTCCCCTTCCCACTAACTGCTGGCAGAAAATCAATGGTTCGAATGTGACCGTCACATGGGCATGCTGCCTCCCCTGCAGGAGGTACATCAAGCTGACTTTTAAAAAATATGCTTACTGTCTCTGCCTGCATTTGTTTGGTTGGCAGGCTTATAGAGTGCCAGGGCTCCTGGGGAGCTGCAGTCTGGAAGGGTGTCCAGCAGGGCTCCACCCAAGGTGAGATGAACACATTTCCACATGTTGTGAGCTGTTTGCCGGTCCCTGTTCTTCTCTGCCTCTGTCCAGAATTCTCCATGATGCTGCCTTGCTTAGGAATCCACTGGGTTCTTTGCTCTACAGATGGAGTTGGGAGAATATTGGGTCTCTTTCAAAACAGGACATAATATTATTAGTGTCGGAGGTTTCTAATGTTTTCTTTAAGATGCACAAATAGGGCTGTGCATAATAATGAAAATTCTCTGTATCTAGATGTGTACAAAGCTTATGTGATTCCATGCCTGAGGGCATTTTGGAAATGTAGCAGTGGAGAAGCAAAGGCATTTCAGGGGTTAGGAGAAGGCAATGGCTCAATAAAAATGGGCCAGTGTCTTAGCTACTTCTATTGTTTGTACGAAACACTGTGACCAAAGCAACTTAGAGAACAGTTTATTAGGAGCCTATATTCAGAGGGTCGAGTCCATGACCATCATGATAGGAGCATGGCAGCAGGCAAGAAGGCAAGAGCTGAGAGCTTACATCCTGACCCAAAAGCACTAGGCAAGGGGGGGAGGGGGAGAGAAAGGGGGGGAGGGAGAGAGCACGCGTACTAACTGGGAATGGCAAGGCCTTTTGAAACTTCAAAACCTGCCCTCAGTGACACACTTCCTCCAATGAAGCCACATTTCTTAATCCTTCCCAACCTTTCCACTAACTGGGGACCAAGCACTAAAACATCTGAGCCTCTAAGGTCACTTTTACAAACCACCATGGGCAGTATGGGGAGTTTTCTAAGCTAATGGACAATTGTCATTTGGGTAAGGCAATGGTTACATGAACCTACCTACCCTAAACTTCATACAACTATTCACCTGCAGAAAGTCAATATTATTGTAAATAAAAGTTTTAAATCATAAGTGAAAGAAATGAATCTCTCAATTCCAGTTCAGGTAAATACAAAAAGACTCATGAGATGAGCTTTTTGGACACCAGTGAGAGTGCTTGATGAAAGTGAGAAATTACTGCTGCCGCCTTCTTCAGTGATGTAGGCTCTGAGAGACTGTCTCGTTCTGGTAAATAAACCCCCACTGATGCTCATAATGCAACTAACATTAAAGTTGGAGGCTTAAAAAAATAAAACAGCAGCAAAGTGGGAGTGTGCTTTGGATGGGAAGATAGGTCTCAGTAGCAGGAAGCAGGGAGCAAGTGAGGGCAACATATACACATGTACAAATCTGCCAAAGGATAAAAACAAGGCAGAGAAATTATGGCTATTTTGAGGGTCTGATAATGGTATTTGGTGATATTCTCTACAATGGCTCTTTTTTTTTTTCACCTTTTTTAACAGCTTATGTGTGAATAATTTGACCTTCCCATAGGTCCACAGGTCAAATCATGGCCATGGTGAGATGATAAGATCTGGTAAAGAAACCCTTGCCAACTAGCCATTTGAACAACTATGCAGGTTAGGCAACCCCACTGGCCCCTTCAGCCAGGCCCCATGTGCTGAAATTGCTCACAGTTCCACATCTCTAAGGCTGATTGACGTCCTCTGGTACTCATCTGTAGCATCTAGGTTGTTGGCATGGAGCCCAGCAGCCCCACCTAACTTCCGACACCTGCACCCCCAAGGGAATTCAAAAGTCCCCCTTAGAAGTTCCCAATAATTTCATTCTGAGACTTGCACCAGCCCTCTTCTTCGGTTGGTAATGTAAATGCGATCACTTCTCATGGCAACCAGCTCCTTGGAGCGCGAAGCCTCTGTCAGCGGAGTCCGGCTAAGGAGAGCCAGTGCTGTATATCAGACTGATGCCATAGGGTAGCCATAGGCTTTTCCAAAGAACGTGAGGAAATGCGGAAATGCCACGCTGGCTTCCGGTGCTGGCGGGAAGATCCGTTCCCCCCACATCCAGAGTAGCACAGCCTTCGACCGGAAGTTGCCTTTGCCTTCTGTCCCACCTCCCCGTCTGGAGTTGAAATAACAAGACATAGACCGGGTTCTCTAACCTCGGACACCAAGTTCCAAGTTAGTGAACTGATTCAGTCACACTAACTGATTCCTTTTAGGAAGAAAAAAAAAATTGTTTCTAAGGTTCCAAGCGAAGCAGAAGCTAGGTTATTTACAGGAGCTGCGTTTGCTTTTGGCGGGGGGGGGGGTTGTTTGGTTCTGTGTTGTTCCTAGTGGGTGTTTGGTCAGCCTCCTTTGTCGAAACTTTCATTAATTCACCAGCATTCAGCAGTTTCCTTTGCCCACGTGGTCTATCCCCGGCCTATCCTCTCACTTGCCCATCAGTGCTCCATCCAGACCTTTGCACACGGCCCCACCCTTCCAACCCTTCATTCGTCTGCCAGCCATCTTTTCCGCCTTTCTTGAAGGGAGCCTCTTTAACCCTCCAGTCCCATGTGATCTCGCACAGATTCTCATGGTTGCCAACATCTCCCTTCTGAGAACAGCACGATGACGACCACAACCATGAATGTGATTATTTTTTCTGTCCCCTCTTCCTTTACCTTATGACCTCTTTCAGGGCCAGGACCACATCTGTAATGTTTTCCACTACAAGATTCAAAGCCTCACACATGGTAGACGTTCAGGAAAGACTTGCTGTGTGAATTTGATGGAAATGGGGAAGGAACGAAAGGCGTAAGGAGGCAGGATGCCAGAGCATTTTAGCACACTGTGCAATGAGAAGAGCTTCAGACACCACGAGCACCGCGCTTAGGAACTAAAATAAAGCACTCCTTACTGATTTTCACCTTGCCGTCCCTCTCACTGCTACTAAGAATGGAAGAATATTCTCACATGTGATTCTCTAACTCTTCCAGGCCTTTTTAAAGATTTTAATTTACTTTTAGTGTGGTGTGTGTGTGTGTGTGTGTGTGTGTGTGTGTGGTCTGTGTGGGGTTTGTACACATCAGTGCAGGTTCCTGCAGAAGCCAGAAGAACATGTCTGATCCCCTGAAGCAAGAATTACAGGCAGCTATGAGTTGCCCAGTGTTGGTGCTGAGAACAGAACTCAGGTCCTCTGCAGGAACATTGTGTGCTCTGAACCAGACTGAACATCTCTCCAGCCCACTCCACCAGTCTCTGTTATATGGTTAACCAGGCATTTGCTCTCGGTAACCAAGCAGATGTCCAGGAGCTGTTCAAGGTCATGCCGCCTGTCAAACGTGGCACCCAGACCTACAGTTCACAGTGTACCTACTGCCCACCCTGGTTCTTCCCTCCCACCCTGGTCTCCATTTCGACCCCCAAGGGAAACATCTTATAACCATCTCCAATGCTTCTCTCCTGTTCCTTCAGAAAAGAGGTGTCTGCCACTAACAGAGCTGTTAACGCTGGGAGCTGTGATGTGCATGTCTTGTAAATAAAGATGAGCCTGCTCTGGTCCCAAGGGCCATTTAACTCTAATTGCAGTCAGAGCAGATCAGCAAGTGAGAGGTGACTCAGCTGTGATGCATGGTGGGGGGGGGGGATTAGATTGTTTTCTTCCCCTTTCTGCAAAGTGCAGTGAGAAAGCTGACTTGCATTTGTGACATAAAATGACAGTGTTGTGAAGAGCAGAGGGGTTTTCACACAGGACACTCAAAGCGGCCATCAAATGAAAGTGGAGACTTTTGCAGATCTGCCAAACACTTCAGCATTCGCTGCCTCACCTGCAGAAAGCGGCTCTCAGCAAGGCAGGGGAGGAGGTGGGAAGGTGGCTCAATTGACAAAGCACTTGCTGAACAAGCTTGATGGCACAGTTCAGGATCTCCATCACCCATGGAAAAAGCTGGACACAGTGACAGGTGCCTGTAACCCTAGGACTGGAGAGACGAGATGGAAGGGTTTCAGGGTCCTGCTGCCTCACTTAGCCAATCTACAAGTTCCACAGTTAGTGAAAGGCCAGGTGTCATAAAAAATACGGTAGAAAGTGACAAATACCACTAATGTGGAGCTCTGGTCTCCCCATGCACATGCACACCTGTATGCACATGTATAGATGCATACCTATAACATGCACATCTGTATGCACATGTGCACATGCACTGAACACATACCCAAGTTACATGGTGAAAGTAGGCATAGCATTCATGCCCTAGTTTTTATTGAGCCCTATGTGTGGTGATATTGTGTCTCCCAATATATTATGCACCCCAATAAACGTATCTGGGGGTCAGAGAACAGAACAACCACTATATTAAACATAGGCTTAGGCAGTGGTAGCACACACCTTTAATCCTAGCATTCCAGAGGCAGAGATCTATCTGGATCTCTGTGAGTTCAAAGCAGCTTAATGGCTTTATCATAGTCCATGTGAAGTCATCATTGTAGGATCCCGTCATCCTTTAGAAGATTTCAAAGTTGCTCTTCATGGTTCCGAGAGACAGACATTTACGAGACTGTGATTACTCCAAACCACAGAGGAGGCACAATAAGATAAATAAATAAATAAATAAATAAATAAATAAATAAATCTGCAGGGAACCATGACCATGTCTAAGAGCAACTTTGAAATCTTCAAAAGGATGAGTGGCTTTGAACTCACAGAGATCCAGATGGATCTCTGCCTCCGGAATGCTAGGATTAAAGGCATGTGCTACCACTGCCTAAACATATGTTTAATATAGTGGCTGTTCTGTTCTCTGACCCCCAGATAAGTTTATTGGGGTGCACAACATAGTGGGGGACACAATATCACCACACCTATGGTTTGCCACACAGAGCTTGAGCACTAGGGCTAGAGCTCAGGGCAGAGTGAATTCCAGTCTCTGTGGAATCCAGCATCACTACGGAGAGCCGCTCATCCAGAGCACTGCAAAGCCCTAGCTTACCATTGCTCCCACACCCATGTGAACATCCACTGGATGAGCCATGCCCAATCTGCTCAGCTGTACAGAACAGCCCTGAGTCACCCTCAGTACTGCTGTCCTAGGCTAGTGGAATGGATGCTGTACCTTTCCATCCTGTCTCCCTGATTCTGCTATCCTTCTCTTCCTCTGTTGTCTTTTCTCACACAACAGATTAAAACAGATACTGCCACACCTCTCCTCACATCCCCAGACAAAAAATAAACCAGATGCCTGTGAGCACTCAGACTTCATCCTGCCTCTTCCTAGGCTTCCCTTTTCTTTCCATACCATTCTGCCCCAGCACCTCCTTCCCTGGTTATAAGCACCTGCTCCCTTCTCCCTCCAAGACTTGCCTTTTTAATTTTTAAATGCTATCATTATCTGGGGACAGGCCACAGCACGTGTGGAGGTCAGAAGACAATGTGGAGTCAGTGCTCTGCATCCACCTTTAGGAGGGTCACAAAAGTGGGACCAAGGTCTTCAGATGTCGACGGCAAGCAAGTGCTCTGAATACCCGCCAGGCTTTCTTCATGTGCCATGTGCTCAGTCACAGCTTTGCTGACCACCTAGACACACACCACCTAACCCCTCACTGTCATCTTCCTTGTATAGCAATAAGACTTTGACACCACATGATTTTACAACAATATAATTCATTTGCGGCCTGCTTATTACCCCATAAAGGGACAAGCTCCACAGAGGTAGAAAGTGAGTGTCTGGAATACATTAGATGCTCAGCAAAGTTGGACTGAATTATAGTTAGGGGCACAGACAATGAATGACCAAATACACATTCATGTGTTTGTGCAAAAACAATATATATATATATATATATATGCATTTAAGAACTATGAATATCATAATACAAACCATATATGTGTCTATTCACCAACAGATTAAAACAGGAATAACCAACAGGCACATGTACATAGTATATGTGTATATATCTGCATATGTATGTGCATGTATATATGTGTGTATATCTGCATATGTATGTGCATGTATATCTGTGTATGTCTAAGTTTGCTTGCTTGTCTCCCACCTATAATATATTCATTCATTTAATTAGTCTTTCCTTGAGCTGGCCATATGTAACGGGACTCTCTGTGATGCCTAGCTGTGAGTACAGTATTCTGACCATGTTTAAGGCTTGATGCCAGCGTTGGCCTAGTAAACACATTTTAGTTTTATAATATTTTCAACCTACAGTGAATTGAGAAACAACAGTGTTAAAAGCCAAAAAGCATTTGTACATCCTGTGTATTCATATAGGCAAGTGCGTGTACATGTAGATACACACACGAGTGTGTGTATAGAGATTCATGAGCACGTATGTATATATGCATATTCATGAGTATATGTATACATGTAGATGATATGTATCTATGTATATGTAGGTGCCTGTGAGCTAAGGTACACTGTGTATACACACAAATAATTGTGTTTACATGCACATGAGCATGTGTTATATGTACATGCTGATGGGTGTGTATACATGCATATGTATGAGCATGTTTGCATGTATATGCATACATAGGCATATACATGAGAATGTGTGTATGAGTGCCTGTGTGTGTATGTGCATATGTAAGTAATGAAGCCAGGATCCTACTTTAAACAGCCTCCAGAACAGGTTTCCAGGAGAGCTTAGGCACAGCAGGGCCTGCAGAGAAGGGGTGGGCTTCCCTGAAAACCTGCTCAGTGTTTGAAATTCTGCCATGGCATTATCTGACCAATCTCCCTTGAGCCACACAACCATGCAGAAGGTGGGGATTATTATCACTTCCAGCTCATAGATGGGGAAACTGAGGCACAGGGATGGTTGTTTGCTTGTTTGTTATGGCCCCAGGTTGAAATCTGTGGTGTTGGTACCACACCCAGATTCCATCTGGTTCTCCAGGTTCTGGCCCTTTGCTATGCAGCACAGCCCCTGCAGGAAGAACACAGGGGTCACTTGGACACGTAGGAAGCATGGGACCTGGACTCCACCATGGCCTGGCTGACTCAGAAGAGCATTCAGACAAGATCCTCAGCTAGTCCACTAGCCTGAACTAGTAGCTCTCAAGTGATCTGAGCACAAGAAGACCCAAAAGAGATATAGAAGTCCGACATGTCTGTGCTGTACCTTTCACCTGTTAACTCATGTGTCTAGAGCACTGTGGAAATGCCAGTCTCTCCTAAACCTCCCTGGTTATTCTAATACAAAAACACTCAAAACCAAATTTTAGAAAGATTTTCTAACAAAAGAACCTTATTAGTCCCCTTGTCATGAAGCTGAGGTTGTCAGGATCCTGACAATCTACATGCTTAACAAACAGCTGAAGCCGTTGTTAAGACCTGTGGATTTGGGGACACAACTTCAAAGAGGAGAGTCAGTTGTGCCTTTGTGTCTGTGCTCTGCCTAGAAACTGAGTTATTAAAAATATATTTAATATAAGAAACTAATGAATACACAGAAACAGAGCCTGCATGAAGGCACAGGGCAGCCAGCATTTAGAAAGAGAATATACTACATGTAACCATTGGCCAGGAATAGAACACAGCCAACATTCCCCACCCATGGCGTCCCTTCTCCCTGAGATGTCACCTCCATCCAGCCTTTTTATAACACTCAACTATCTCCTTACCTTTACAGCTTGGCTTCTTTTGTCTGCAGACCTAGACAATCTATGAATTCTTTCTGATTTTTCACTTTATATGAACAGTGTCTCACTGTACGTCCTCTTTGGGATATCATTTCTTCATTCAACATTACATTTAGAAGAAACTTTTCATTTCTGTATGATATTCTAATGTATAGTAAACACAGTCTTGGTGTTGAAGTGTATTTTCTTTTGCTCACATTCTGAGCTATTCCAAATACCTCTCTTCCTCTTCAGACTGGTACATCCAGAGCATGTCCTTACACATAAATGCATAT